GAAACTAACTAAACTTAATAAAACTCTAAAGAATTAGTCATAACAATGACTTTAACTTGGAAACAAGATTTAGAAACAAGATTAAGCTATTAACTTAAAAAAAGCTAAAATAAAAAACTAATTATTCACAACAGCCAACAAATAACTACTTAAAATAAAGAATTACTTGTAGGCTACCCAAGTTTCTAGCTATTATATAAAAAAACTCTTAAGGAAGGCACAATCCATTTATATAATTTTTTATTATAGTTTAGATTAATAAATTGCAAAATTTCTCAATTAATCACATAATCAAAAAACTTTAAAAAAAAAAACAACTTAAGATAACATAACAATAAGATATACTGAAATAAAATAGGACAGTCGTTTGTTAATAAAAACTAACTTGACAAATTTTTTTTTCAAGTTCTTCGATTTCTTTTTCTATCAACTCAATCTCCTGTTTAGCTTCAATATTTTTTCTTTTAAGTTCATTCCCTTTTTAAACTTAACTCAGGTCACTTTTTTTCTCTGTAAATTCCATACACTCCCAGTCAGTAGTCTGATATTTATGGCAGCGCTACACTAGAAACTAAAGCTTTTCAGTTAGTGGATTGTTTTATATGCTTATAGTGAAGGGCCTGAATCAAAAATACTGCCAAAAATTTGTGATAAAAGTTGTAATTTTTGATTTTTTTTTTTTTTTGTTCGGCTAATGAAACAAAACAGAAAAAATTTATAAACTCATAAAATACTTTGTTTTTGACATCAGTTTTGTTTCAGGCAAAATTTATCATTATATGTAGAACAAACCCTAAAAATTTAAAGCAAAAACCTCACTCCACTATAATTTTTCAAAAATTAAAAATTGCACAAAAAATCAAAAGCTAAAAAATAGTAATAAATATTTTATTAACTAAAAAATATCCAAAACTTCCAAATGAATAAAGTTTATAAGTTTCTAGTTGTTGTTCTTCACTTTGTCAATTAATGGCTTTTATTTACAATTTTCTACTTTTTCTTTCTAAAATTTCTTTTTTTTGCTCATATTGATAATGCATTTTTGATCCTTATATTATGAGAACATTGCGGTTATTAAACCACTTTCAAGGTTAAACTGATTTAGTACTCAAGGTTAAGCACTTATTACAGAACTTCAGCAATTCCCCAACTAAAGTACAACCCAGCTGAGTTTAATAAAAATGTTTTTTGGCAATATAAAAATTATTTAGTTAAATAAAAAATTAAAATTGAGGCAATAAAAAAAAAACAAAGCTTTGCTAATGCCTCAAGAAATTATCACATGATACTATCTAAAATTTAGATAGTATCAATTTTTATTAAACTCAGCTTGGTTGTACTTTAGAAGGGATTGCTGATGTTACTCGAGTTTTTTGAAAGTTACTCGAGTTTATGAAAATTACTCGAGTTATATGATTCATTAGATTCTAATGAATCATAAAACTCAAGTAACTTTCACACACTTTTACACTTTTATATAAACATTAGGCTAACCATGTTAGCTTTTAAAATTATAATGTGATTAACATAATCTGACTAAAAACTAAAATCAGGGCAAAATGATAAAGCAATTATAATCCTAAGTGTTGCTTGAAAAAAAACCTTAGTGTTGCTAAGGGACTGTTGTCAAGGTAAAAAATCATAATTGAGCTAAAACTCAAATTAAATTAAAGCCTAAAGCGTAAAATAAAATTAAATAAATAGGGATGTACCGGAATTCCATTCCGGCCTAAATTTCGGCTAGAATTTTTGAATTTTAGGTCATTCCGACTCCGGCTGGATTTACAATATTTCAAGCAGAAATGCAAAAATTTATTTTTTTTCCTTTTTTTTTTTTAAAACATGTGACAGTTTTTTATTCAGTTTTTCGGCAAAAAAACTAGTTTTTTTCTCATCAAAATTGTTACCTGCCTCTTAAAAAAGTCTTATTTTGCGTGTTACTTCAGTTTTAAATAAATAAAAAGTATAGGAGCCTTTATATTATATTATATTTACTAATTGATAAAACTAAACTTAAACGAGAATACTCAATCAAATTTTTAGGCGTAATTCTTAATGAACATCTTAGCTGGAGTAATCATATCAAAGTAATAGAAAATAAGATATCAAAAGTTATTGGTATTATGTATAAAACAAAACATCTCCTAAACACAAATTGTTTAAAAAATATTTATTTTGCATTTATTCATAGCTACATCAGCTACTGCAACATTATCTGGGGGGTGATACTAATCCGCGGAAAATGAATCCGCGGAAAGTTTTGTCGTTTTTTGTCGTTAAAGTTAATAAAATTCCGCAATTATGAATTTTTGTAAAATTAAACCCCAAAAAGAAGTTAAATATGACCAATATAACTGTAGTTTTATAATTCATTTAATAAATATATAAAATAGTATGTGAAAAATATTTTATGAAAAATTAAAATGTAATTTTGCGTTTTTTACGTTTTTTTTTAATTTTCAAAAACTGCCTAAACGACTCATTACCAGTAAGAAACGCATGTTTGAAACGTTTT